ACTTATTCATGAGACTTGGATATCATCTTCCATCACAATGCCCTTTTTGCAAGCACTGGGAGGCCAATATTAATCATACCTTGCTCCACTGTGACTTCAGTATTAGCATCTGGCGTTACTTCTCAAACTTGCTGCAAGGGCCTATTGCCAGGAACGGAATTACCTTGAGACAACACCTCATTGAATGGGGTCTAAGAGCGACGAGCAATAGCTTGAGAGGAAATCTCAAAATGGTGTTACCAGGTATTATTGCGTGGAACCTATGGAAAATGTATAATGCCGCGATCTATAGTGATGATAGACCCTCCATAGCTACCGCGCACAACCAAATCAAGAAGATGATCCAAGGCTGGTGCTGGATTCACAGGAAGAAGAGTTGGGCATTAAAGGATCTGGAACTATTTGACCTAGGGTTCCAAACTATCTGTTTGAGCGGAAGAAACCTTCAGTCCTACCATGGGGGATGAGATGCAGCTCGAGTACACTGTGGGATACATATTAAGAGGAAGAGGCTACATGGTTTCTGTTCAACGGGGAATAGGCACACAGGTGAACCTTCAAAGGAGGCGCGGGAGACTGTAGACACCCTGCTTTTTACTTTTGAATTTCTTTATGTGGGTTATTAATGTAAATTTGCTCGGTGGTTCCTTGTAACTTTCGGGATTTTGGTCTAGTCCCCCCCGAACGTGGTGATAGTTTTTTTAATAAATTTTGGTAAGGGTTCCCTGGTCCTTACCCCACTGATTTTGGTGGAACGCTACCGGGATTATATATATATATATATATAATCTTAATTTTCTTAAAATTTTGCTCATTTTATTATTTATTAAAAATTTAAAATTTTACAAATAAACAAGTTAGAATTTTAAAACACAATGTAAGTGTTTTAAGTTATTATGGGTAGCTATTACGGCATGTAATTTTAGTATTATGATTTTATTTCTACTCATTTTGTTATAATATTATAATGTTAATTATCATTTGAATAGAATTAGTTTACATACTTTAATTCGTTAGACCGTTAGAGCAAAGGTTTCTTTTTTCCTATGTCAGGTTAGTCCATTGAATTATTAGGACCTGGCATGGAAAGAATAGAAAAAAAGAATTGGATGAAGCTACTTTTTAAAATTTCTCTCCATTTTGAGGGAGAAAATAAGTACGAGTATGAAATTTAAAAAGAAGAGGATCTTTTCCTTCCTTATTTTTCTTTCTCTCTCAAACAAGATATATGTTAACTTCATTAATTTTCATTCTTTATTTAACTCCCTCCCTCTCTTATTTTGCCATTTCCAAACTTAGGGCTATTGAACTTGATGGCATGGGTGTTTTTGTTAGACCACACGTGTTTTGGACTTGCCTTTGTCGAAATGATGGCATGAGTTAAATTGATTTAGAGGAAACAAGACTAAAGATCTATTTGGTACATGCAATTGACAAAATTGGAATTGAATTGAGAGTTGAAATTCTATGGAATTGATTTGGATGGAATTGAATCCTCGAATTCCAATTCATTTTTGGCACTACCAATTCCAAATCCACATACTTTTGTGTTACTAAATAGCAGAATTGAAATTGTTATACTCAATTCCAATTCCATAGTTTGTATTCCGTGTACGAAATGAAGCCTAAGAGCATTTTTTAGGTTGGAATTCTAATGTTGATTGTTGAAAGAAATAGAAAGGAGTTGAAAGAATCTGGAAAGAGTTCGAAAAAAGTGAAATAGATTAGAAAATGTTGGAAATATTAAAGTGTTAAAAAATTAAATTATTCAATTAAATAATCATCCAAATAACAAATACGTACGAAAAATCTTATTTTGGATACAAAAGAATTCATTATATCCGTATTTGAAAGGATATGTTATATATTTTTGGTTATATAATACGGAGTATTATTGTATATTCATCATATATATAAATAAAAAGTATTTTTCAAGTCATTGCTGGAAGAAAATGGAAGCAGTTGAAGCAATGGCAAATCTAGGAATTGAGCTAGATGAGGGTCATGATTTTTTATAGACTATTTGATGAAATGGTAAAAAATAATGAAATTTATTTCAAATATTTATTGAATATAAAACATTTTTAATAGGTAATGTTAAATTTTATTTTATAAGCAATTATTTATATGCAATAAAATACACTTTACTTAAAAAATTAAACAAAAAGTTTAGGTTTGGCCCGAATAGATAATGGAGTCTCATTAATTTTTGTTGGGGCATATATAATAAAATTTTTAAAAAATATTTTTAACCTTAATTATTACAAAAAATTAGTTGGGGGCATTAGCCGCCTACTCCATAGATGTGAGTCCGCCACTGAGTTGAAGAAACTGAAAGTAGTTAGAAAAAATTAGAAGAAATTAACAAGAATTGAAAATTAGCTTTTCCAATCTATAGAAACAAGCCCTAAATATCTGTTTCGCAATAGTTTTAACATTACACTATATTACACCATTCGTTCGTAAATATTCTTCACGCGTTGACTTGGCACACTTATTATAGCGTAGTAAAAAAAAGTGCCAAATTTTAGAAAATACACGTACTATAAATTTTTAGAGCTTCTTTTCTTATTAAAAAACAATAAAAAAGTATATTAGTGGTAGAATAGAAAGATATTGTTGAAATTTATCGTTAAAGAGTAGACTAAAAAAGGAAAAGTGTAAAATATTTCCGAACGGACCAAAAAAGGAAAGAATATTTTAGAAGAATGAAGTACTTAGAAAACGTTATCTATCGATCCCATTCAACTTTAAGAATTTTAAAAATAATATACGCTATTAAAAAATAATCCAAAATATTAACGGTAACACTCTTCCAATAATTCACATCGTTTGGCCATTCAAGAGACAACATCCAATTAAGGGGTCATAATTAGAAAAAATTAAGAACAACTTTTATAATTTTAAATACAATATACGCTATTAAAAATAATCCGAAATATTAACGGTAACACTCTTCCAATAATTCACATCGCCCGTTTGGCAATTCAACAGACAACATCTTTAATTAAGGGGTCATAATTAAAGATTTAAAGATACGGAGTAATTAAGAACCGGAAAATGCATTAATGGGGCCTGGAAATCAAGGGAGGCAAGGTGCTGCCGGATCCGCACGATGGAGTGAAGAATAAAGGGGATGCATGAATGCATGCATGGAAGCTGCTCCTTAATCTCATCCATGTGATGTGTTTGTGGTCTTAGCTTAGGACCCACCAAATATAATACTTATAATTTGTCCCTAGGAGATTATATATATAACACGTTCTGGTGCGAAATAAAGTAAACTTTGAATTTTTTTTAGTTTATCATTTCTAAATTGGAAAATAAATTTAAAATATAATTTACATTGAATATCAAAAGTTTCACAAAATAGGAGGTACCAATAACATTTTATTTTATCAAATAATTAATAAAAATATAATGTATAAATAAATATAAGTTCTTGACTTTTAAACATTGACGACTCCCAATCTTTTTAAGATGGGGGAGAGACTTAGTCCTTGTTTGGATGTTGGATGTTGGCAGTTCGTGCGAGCTGTTGGGTAGAAATCATTAACTTTTCAAATAGAATATCGTGTGTTCTAAAGAGATACTGACAACGAGAGTTATTGTGTAAGCTAGTGGCTACAAAACCACCTCTCTTAAAGTTGGTTTTTAAAATGTACTTCCTCTGTCCTGGAGTATTTGTTTGATTTTGAATTTTTCAGTCAGAATTGGTAAATTTTGACTCCAAATTAAATAAAAATGATATTATATACTAATAAAAAAATAATTTTATTAGATTTATTAAATAAAATAATTTCAATAATATGACAAAAGAACAAATCAACAAATTTAAAACAAGAGAGATGAAAATGCTAGTGGAGATATGCAAAATTATTCATATAATTTATATCATTTATGTTTTAAAATTTTGCATATCTCCACTAGCATTTTCATCTCTCTTGTTTTAAATTTGTTGATTTGTTCTTTTGTCATATGTCTTGATTATATTCGGTCAGTTTAGTCCTTTAGTTTTAACTTATAACTTAAAATTCTGAAATTAAAAATTATAATTTTTAATTTGTAAATATTCAATGTAAAAAAATTATTTTTAATCTTTAATTTTTGGTTTTTTATCTTTTAAAATTCAAATTGTGCAACCAAACAACAAAATTCAAATTGAGGTTTTTCATTTCCAATTTCATGACCTCAATTTTGTGTACTAAATGATGCATAATTTTATGGTTTTTTTATAATTAAGATATTTAAATTAAATGTCAATGAAATCAATACTGACAGATAAAATATTGTTGCTAAAACTATAAACAATACCGACAGATAAATTTTTGTTGCTAATACTTTAAACAATCCCGAAAGATAAATTTTTTGATGCTAATACTATAAACAATACTGACTGATAAAGTTTTGTCGCTAAAACTATAAGCAATACCGACAGATAAAAGTTTGTTGCTAAAATTATAACCAGTAGCGAAAGATATTACTCTTTCTGTCGGTCAAATAGTTTTTTGCCTTCAAATAATTTTATCTGTCGGTAATATTCTCTTTTTAGCGACAAATAAGGTTTTTGTCTCTAAGAATCTGTTGGTACTACCCTCTTTTTTTGTAGTTGTTTCTCCCGCGCACGGAAATTGCAAGTATGATTCATCTGGCTCTTGTGAATTCTCCAAAGTACACTTCCTCAAAATTATCGTCTTTATTTAAATGTTCAGTAATAAATCATGCAAATTTCAAAGAGTTCAAGGATATTTGGTGCACTTTTTAATGTTCAGGTGTAAATCGTGCAATTTTTGAAGAATTTGGAGGTAGGTATTCGGTACAATTTTTTATGTTTAAGGGTAAACCGTGAAATTTCTAAAGAATTCAACACTTTTTTTAGGGTTACTAGCATCACTCCCGTGCGTTGCACGGGTCATACTTATATTACTAAATTAAGATCATTTTTGAATGATACAATTTCTTATCTGCTACTCCCTCCGTCTCTGAAACATGTTCCCCTTTCATTTTTTCTTTGTCCCACAAACTTCTTCATTTTTCTATTAAAAAACTACTTTTACCCCTTACTTTTTCATACTCTACATATCACATCATACCTTTTTACTAATAATCTATCTATCATATCTTACTTTTATCAATTTCATCAAGAGTATTTTTGAAAAAGTCAACACCAAAATATTCATCCCTTAATTTTCCAAAAAGTCAATAAGGGAACTTCTTTCGGGACGGAGGGAGTAGAATATAAAGATTTTATTATTTTAAGGTACAAAAGTTAATTATTTTACAAATAACAAAAGACTTCTTTATAAACTACATTACTCGTATAATTTTTATATATCAAACTTTTAAAACATTTATTTATTTAAAGACTTCTTCATGATTTTATACTCCGAAAGCATGAATCTTATTTAAAAACTCAAGAGAGTGTTAGTCATTCAAAAAATTTGAAAGAGGCTAATTACGAAAAGTGATTGAGAATGACTGTATTTAAAGTATGAAAAAATTAAAGTATTTTTCTATTTCCATGCATCTATTTTTTTCCGGGTAAGTTATTAATTAGTGGTTGATTGTTCAACATATAAAGTTATATATTATTCAATACGTTTCCAAGTATTAACGGCACACCTCTTAAAACGATGTCTCCATAAAACGTTTGGGCCTGGATCTCTAAATGGAAACATTATTTTATTGAAAGCTTATTTGGTTAGAATTATTACACGATAATA